GACATTCTTTTTTTTTTGTTGTTGTTGTTTTAATGCATTTTATTGAAATATAATTTATGTACAGTGAAATACACAAAACTAAAATGACATGGGTCAATGCTTTTTCTTTTTCCCCCTGCAGTGTTCTCTCCCCTCCCCTCCCATCCCTGGTAACCAACAAAGAAATTTTCCTTCCATATATAAACCTTGACTTTTTACAATAATGAACTACTACTGTATTTGTCCTTCTGTGATTGACTTATTTCACTCCGCATAATGTCCTCCAAGTTCATTCATGTTATGCGATGTTTTGCAGAATCTACATTATTCTTTAGTGTTGCATAGTATTCCATCGTGTGTATGTACCATAGTTTGGTTATCCATTCTTCTGCTGATGGGCATGTAGGCTGTTTCCATCTTTTTGCTATTGTAAATAGTGCTGCAATGAACATGGGTGTGCATATACTGTTCTTGTCCCAGCTCTCACTTCTTTAGGATATATACCTAGTAATGAGATTGCTGGGTCAAATAGTATTTCTAATTCCAGCTTTTTAAGGAATCACCATACTGTTTTCCACAGTGGTTGTATCATTTGACAGTCCCATCAGCAGTGTATAAGAGTCCCAATCTCTCCACATCCTTGCCAGTGTTTGTTATTTTCTGTCTTGTTGAACTCAGCCATTAGTGCTGGGATGAGATGGTATCTCATTGTTGTTTTGATTTACATCTCTCTTATGGTTAATGATCGTGAGCATTTCTTCATGTATTTGCTGGTTGCTTGAATATCTTCTTTGGTCAAGTATCTATTCATGTCTTCTGTCCATTTTTAAATTGGATTGTTCATCTTTTTGTTGTCGAGGTGTTGGAGTTTTCTATAAATTTAGAGGTAAGTCCCTTGTCAGATATGTAATTATCAATTATGTATGTAAATATGGATTTGTTGCTGTCATTTATGTGCTTTTTCATGGTGTTGATTTCTTTGTTCCATATAGTTTTCTGTGTTGAGCTCGTTTTGTTTATGAATCATGTTATCACTTCCTTTGTTGCCGTTGTTTTAGTATTTGCTAAATATTTATGCTGGTCCTCTTTTTTACTTTGATGTGAAGGTTTATCATTTTTCTTTGAGGTTTCCCTGTAATTTATAATTATCTTCCCAAGGTTAGAACAGTCCTTTCTATCTTGTAGTTGTCTTGACTTCCCTACCATCTAGAAGTTCTGTAAATACATAATTTTTTTCCTCTTTTTGGTTAGTAGTTGTTCTCCTTTGTCAACTGATGTCTCTGGTTCCCTGTTTACAATCTTGTAAGCTTATTTACTTTGGATACTTCTATAACTGGGTTGGTTTCTGGACTATGTCATCATGTGTGTTAATGGGTCAGTTGTTGTTTGCTGTTGTTGGTTGTCTGTCCAAAAGACTCCCTTTAGCATCTCTTGAAAGACTGGTCTGGTTTTAACAAATTCCCTTAGTTTCGGCTTATCTGGAAATCTCCTAATCTCACCATCATATTTGAGGGACAATTTTGCTGAGTATATAATTCTTGGTTGGAAATTTTTTCTTTCAGAACTTTATATATACCATTCCATTGTCTTCTCAGGAGCTCTGGTAGCATAGTGCCTAAGGCACTTGACTGCTAACCAGAAGGCTGGTGGTTCAAACCCACCAGCCACTCCTCCTCGGAAGGAAGGTTGGGCAATCTATTTCCATAGTGATACTGCCTCGGAAACCCAAAGAGGAGTCACTATGAGTCAGGTCCGACTCAACGGCACATAACAACAACAACAATGACATTGTCTTCTCACTTGAATGGTTTCTGCTGAGAAATCAGCTTAGTCTTATTGGTTGCCACTTATAGGTAACTTTTCATTTTTCCTGTGCTGCTTTCAGGATTCTTTCTTTGTCTTTGGTTTTGGTGAGTTTGATGATGATATGTTTTGGTGATTTTCTTTTGGGGTCAGTCCTGTTTGAGGTTTGTTGGACTTCCTGAATGGATATATTCTCATCTTTCATCATACCAGGAAAATTCTCTTTTAAAAAATCTTAGACAATTTTCTCTGTGGTTTTGTCTGTCTCTTCCTGTTCTGGAATTCTGATTACATGTAGGTTATTCCTTTTGATGGTATCCCACATGAACCTTAGGCTTTCTTCATTTTGTTTTGATTCTTTTTTGATTGATCTCTTCCCAAAGAAGTACTGAGGTATTTGCCTTCAGTCTCACTAATTCTGTCTTCCATTGATTCAATTCTACTCCTTTGCCCATTCAATGTGTTATCTGTTTCTGAAAAGTTAGTGTTAATCTTCTGGATTTCTATCTGTAGATTCTGTATCATATTAATTTTTCATTTATTTTGTCATTTTGTTCTTGTATTGTGTTTCAAAATTGTTCGAGGGTTTTCTCCAATTTCATCAGTGTTTTCCTTGATCTGTCTCTCAATTCCTTGAAGGTACCTAAATACAATTTTTTTTTAATTCCTTATCAGTTAGTTCCACATCTTCCTCAGGGATGTGTTTTGGGTTTGTATCCTGGTCTCTTGTTTCTCCCGCTTTATCTTGCTTCTTTGTGTGGACTGTGATGCTCTGTTGTCTCTGAGGCATTGTGACATTTTTATGTTTATATGTAATTGGTGATTGCATGTTGGAGTGACTTGCCCACAATTTTCATTTTGTTTGTTTTGTTTGGACGTTATCTATGGAAGCAGGGTACTGTGCTGTGCTCCTCTATTTGCTAGTTGACAGCACGTATATACTTATCTGTCTGCTTTCTTGTTGTCAACCTCCCATATGTCCCTGTCATCCTTGGCAAATGGAGCCTATTCCTAGGTGCCTGGAATCTGAATGAGAATGCTGTCACTTTAACATACAAAATGGCCATCACCTGTAAACATTCAAAATGGCTGTGCCCTCGGTCACTTTAAATATCCAAAATGGCCACCGCTTGTAAACCATCAAAATTACTCTGCCTTCAGTCACTTTAAATATCACAAATGGCTACTGCCTGTAAACAATCAAAATGGCTGTGCCCTCCGGACAGCCGAAAGTCTACAACTCATGTTGTCTCCCTCCTTGTTGTTTCCCTTCCTAGTCATAGGCCACCAGTGCAGTCATCCCTGTAGCTGTTGGTGACCAGGGCTGATCTTTAGGTCAATTCTCAGGTCCCAACACCACTGGAAATATTCAGGCTGTTGGTCCCATCAGAGTAGATGACAGTCCACTGCTCCAACCATCTCTGTACTCACTGTTTTTTTTTTTCCGGCTTTTCCACTAGTTAGTGACTAATCCACTTCTGTATACTTCCTTTCGAAACTCGGGGCTCCAGGATTATCTTCTGTATCTCTGTCAATTGGTTTCTCTTTTCTTTGGTGAAGAGGGTCTATGTTGCTTGTCTGCCTATTCCTCCATCTTACTGGAAGTCTACATCTGGACGTTCTTACAGCTTGTAGAAACATTGTCTACCAACCCTATACATGGTCATGGGCACACTACCCCCTGCCTAGACAAGCCTGATTGCGTAGCATGTGGTGTGGATCTTTTTAAAATCACTATTTAGAGAAACATTTTAATTGGGAAACTCAGGTCCTTCAGTTCTCAGAAATTTCTTTTTTGTATTTCTTTGTTAATTGTCTCAGTTGCATTTTCCATTTTCTCTTTCTGGGACTCTTAATGTAATAAGGCCTTCTGAAGTGGTCCTCTTATTTTCTGATAGTTCTTTTGTTCAGCTTTTTGAAGATTTCATCGTTTGTTATCTTCCATTCTTCTACTTATTTTTGGTTAAACTTCTCCTAATGCATTTTTACATTTTATAATTCTGATTTCTTGTCCTTCAACTGCCCTTTTTTATACCATATGTGCTCTTACTTTGTGGATTCAATATCTCATCTTGCTGAATCTATTTATTATAGTGCTTTTGAACACGTCTTTATTTCCTTATATTACATCTGTACTCTCCAAGTTCCTTTTTAGCAATTTTTTTACACATTTTTTCATGTTAGTAGCTTTTTTCAAATTCCCAATGGCACTCTATTACCTGTGCTACTTTAGAATGAGGCAGTTGGATACTTTGGAGCAGGCTTGTTAGTTGGAAGGCCTTACTGTTGGAGGACTGGTCAGGGATATGGCATGTTTATTGAGGGAGCCCCAGACATTCACTTCTGCAGATCTTTTCTTCTCCTAGGTTTGACAGTTTTCTATGTGATGAATATGTGGGATTTTTAAGGTAGCTGCCAGCATTTCGGAGCTAATAGGGGAAGAGGATTGGGGAGGAGAAATCTTATCTTTCAGAATGCAGATATTCATTTATGCCTTATGATTTAAGGTTTCCTATGCCCAGAGCCTCAGATCAACCTAATCAATTAGAACTATGAAACAAAATTAACGTCATAAGGCTTTAGGTAAAAGGCCATGAACTTCTTGTCCCAGAATTGGTGGATTAAAAGAAAAAAAAAAAGTTCCTTCTCATCTTCCACCCCTTCAAAAAACAAAAAGCAGTGCAAAATGTGGGAAATTTGCCCCATTCAAGCCCCTTGCCCCCTCCCACTTCACCAAGAGTTTTTGCTTTGATAATGCCTCAGAACTCATTCAGGGTCCAAGTTTGTTTTAAAATAACCCAGTGAGTTGACAGACGGAGCTCCTGGAATTCTGCAGCTTGTGCAAGAGTCTACAGATGGGAAATTGCCGTCAGTTAAAGGGTGGTGCAATTACCACAGCCCAATTTTTGAAAGGCTTTTAGAAAAAAAAATTATCTGAGTTAATTAGCATTCACCACAGGCACGAATCTTGTGTTGCAGTATTTTAAGAACTCAGATAATAAGAAAATAAGGAAATACAGTATCGCAGCTTCTAACTTTTAAACTAATGCTTAACCTCTTAAAAATGTACATTTTAATTTAAAGGAAGAATTTTACCTATTATAAGTATATGCTCTTATAAGGCTGAGTATAGCTTTAAATCATCATGAAATATGAATTATTTTCTAAAATAAACAAAATACTAGTGGTCCCTTAAAAGAGGAGTAATGTCATTTTACCTCTCCGATCTGTTTAATCCACGATTCTCTTCCAAGAAACTCTTGATGTAAGACCACAGGAGCTGAATTTAGATTAAAAGCCATGGAGTCACTTGTCTTTTCTTTAACGAAAGGCTGGAGGTCAGAATTTATCTAAAAGGGGCAGTCAAAAGAGTTAAATCAGTGCAATGCATATACACTAGTATGTGTTAGTCATATTCAAAAACACTAGTTAATGCAGCGAGAAATGAACTTTAAGGAATGCAGTGTTTAGTTATACTTTAATAAGCAAAAGAACATTTCAGATGATTTATAATAAACTTTAACATTCTTTAAAGTTAAAAGTAAGGACTTAGATAAGGATTTAATAAATATAATAGTCTAACAGTCTAAGCTAAGATTTAAAAAATATGCAAAAACCTCATCTGGAGATACTGTGTGTGTGTGTGTATCCCTCTTATTAGTTAAGTAACATTTCAGAAATATATATTCAATGAGATTTTAAAATTATATATAGAAAGGCAATAGTGTAACAGTTAATTTTGGGTCATTTTCTATTTCATTATGCCCATTTAAAAGAATCTGTTACTAGAATTAAAGCTTTCAATTTTATTCAGTGTATTTCTAAATTTCATTAACTTTCCACACTTTGTTTTACATAAGTACCTATAAGAAATATGTAATAAAAAAATATATATTCTTCCATTCTGTGAATGGCAACAATAAATATTATTTAATAACTTATAAGAGTTTTCTCAAGAACCATTTCAAGTGGTAAGAAAAGATAAACACTGCAATATGATTTAAATAAGCTGTAGTTTTCTATCAAAATTACATAGTACTCACCAATCAAATATTAATTAACAATCACCACCTATGACTGACAGATTTTAAGCACAAAATAAACATTTTTGAGATATAAAAGCAGCTTATTAAATGGCAAAAGGTTTCTCATGTATTCTCATGTATTTTAGTTATTTAAGTGCTAAAAAATAGAAAGGATGCAATACCTTATGACTCATGGCCATGTGCTTCCCATACTGAAATGCCATATCCTGAACCTCAGCATCATGCTTTGCTAATTCCATTGCAGCTTGGCAGCTCTTTGCTAGTAAAGCACCATGGGAGAGAAAAGTCTGCTCCTTCCAAGTTGATATTCCAATATCATCTGTGATATAATTTTCCTAAAAATGCAACAAAAGCCAAGATAAAAGGGCTTTAGAGTAATTTGATTCTGTTTTTGAAGAACAAAAAATTAAGAAATGAACTATTCAAAACACTCAGCTATTGCCATAAGACAGTTCTAAAAGAAGCTGAACCTCATCTCTAGAAAGAATAATGCTGAAGCAACTTGTAATTTTTGAGCTCCCCCCCAAAAAAACTACTGCCATTGTGTTAATTCAGACTCATAGCAACCCTACAGGAGAGAGCAAACTGCCCCATAGGGTCTCTAAGGCTGAAAATCTTTAGAGAAGCAGACTGCCTCACCTTCCACCCAGAGTGGCTGGTGGTTCGAACTGCCAACCTTTTGGTTAGCAGCCAAATACTTTAACCACTGCACCACCAGAGCACCGTAATATTTAAGCTAGGAAGCCGTTATAAAAATATATTCTAAAGAATAAGGTAAGAAGTAGAAACTTGGACCTCCAAACTCCCTTCTGTATTCACATCAGTTCTAGAATACTTATTCTAAAACACAGGCAGCCTGTAATCTTTAACGTATGTGAAAATGTCAAGGGAATAATGAAGGAACTAGATTCTCTTATAATCAGTTAAGTAGAAATAAGTATTAGAGAGGAGGTAACTCATGATAACGGAATGATCAGATTACATTATTCATTATGGTTTATTCCCATATGAAGAAATGAGGTGATAAAGGAGGATATAACTGTAAGTTTATTTGATTTCATTTTTTCAAATTACAGAATCACTGTAGAATCTGTATGTATATTCTTACCTGCCTCTAGACTACTGCTGTCCAATAGAATTATAATGTAAGCCACATATGCAATGAAAAATATTCTAGCAGTCACATTAGACATATGAAAATAATCTGTTAGTTGTCCTAATATAAAGTAGTAGCATTTCATCATATAATCAATATAAAGATTATTAAGTTTCCAAAATGTGTGTGTTTGACACTTGCAGCACCTCACTGGCCACATTTAGTGTTGGAGCACGAGACAAGCCACACTAGGTCAACAGCCATAGGAGCTAGTAGCTTATTGGACAGCTTTGCTTTAGATAGTGGGTTCTCTGAGGACAAGAATGATGAAGCAAACATACACAACAGTGTTCATTTTATGGTGTTTTTCTGAAACCTCAGATTAGCTAGAACCCATCCAGAGGATTGTTGTTGCATTGTTGTTATGTGCTGTCGAGTCGGACCTGACTCATAGCGACCCCTCCTTGGGTTTCCAAGGCAGTATCATTATGGAAGTAGATTGCCCCATCTTCCTTCTGAGGAGTGGCTGGTGGTTTAGGTAACCCCAAAACACATTATTTCCTGCCCCTTAAAATGGAATTCTCCTTCTACCTTGAGGACAATATGAAAAATAAGAAAACAGGGAAAATAAAAGGTCAGCTCAGATTTACCCCATCTCTTTTACAATGATGAGGGTAATCTTCAGTCCCTAGTCAGACCAAAGAATCAGTTTAATTTCATTAAGCATTTGGACAAAAGAAAGCCCACTTTTAGTAACAGTTGTAAATATGTAAAAGTGTTGCCTAACCATCAAAGGGAATCCCCTGGATGGCATAAATAGTTAATACTGAAAACTGAAACGCTGGAGATCTGAATCTACTCAGAGGCACCTCAGAAGAAAGGCCTGGTAATTTACTTCCAAAACACCTGTCACTGATAACCCTACAGCACACACTCTCACTCTGACACACACAATGGAGTCATCAAGTCACTTCTACAACTTTTTTTTTTTTTTAAATCATCAAAAAAGCCGAATGGGAGAAGCAAGTTGTATGAGCTTAAGAAAAACTACTTTACAAAGCAACAGGCATAAATAATAACATGTTTAATTAAAAAAATCTGAGAATGTATCTAAAAATAATGTGAAAGATGAATATATTAATAAGTCCTAGATAAAAACCATATAATCTCTCCATATATACTAAAGAGACATTTGACCAAATTCAACACTTATTCTTGATGGGAAAAAAAAAATAAAAGCCCTGAACAAAATAGAAGTAGATGTGTATTTGTTTGACATGATAAGTGTTTGTCTATGTGTGCTTGTGTGTGTGTGTTTGTGTGTGTGTGTTTGTATGTGTGTGTAAGCCCAAAACCCAGCAAATACTTTTTAGGGAAACACATGAGCCTTTCCCACTAAAGTCAGGAATAAGACAAAGATGCCCACAACACCAATGTTATTTACCAATAATGAAAGAGACAAAAGAAAGATAGACAAAAGAGTTCATCACTGTTTGAAGACAATATAACCATTTTTATTGAAAAAACCAAGGGACTCAACTAAAAAAACTACTGTGAACAAAAAGATATTTCAGTAAGTAGCAGTGTATAAAATTAATGTAACTTACAATTAATATAATCAATGTATTATTAATCTATAGCTTTCATACATAAAACCAACCAGAAAATATTATAAATAGATACTTTTCTTCCATTATCTATATAAAAAGAAAGAATAAAAAGCTGGGGATAAACTTAGAAATGTAGAAAACTGATATTAAGGCAATGTTAAAACACTACTGAAGGACACATAAGTAACTTGAATGAATAAAAAGACAACTCATGTTTGAAGATAGTAAGACCTAACCTCCTACAGTCAGCCCAATAACACTCACAATGCCTTTTTTTTTTTCCCACTCAAAACCAGGCAAGCTGATTCTAAAGTTCATGTGGAAACAATAAGAATAGCCAAAAACACTACGAGAAAGAGGAATAATGTAAGAGAGAGAGAGAGAGAGTGTGTGTGTGTGTGTGTGTGTGAGAGAGAGAGAGACAGACAGACAGAGAGACAGAGGGATGTCTAACCTTACCAGATATTATAACATAGGATCAAGTCTCAACTTGTATTTTTCAAACAGACAGACAACGAAACAAATAGAGAGTCCAGAAATTAATGAAACTATACCCTTGATGTTAGTATATTTTAGGGAAGAGCTGGACTTCCTAGCAAATGGAGCTGGTACTGAATAACCAGCTGGAAATAGTCTGAACTGTATTTCACACTAGTTAGCAGAATAAACTTCAAATGACAAAAACAAAAGGAAAACAAACAGACAACCACAAAAACATAAGCAATGTTAGAAGACAACGGACAATAAAGTATTTGCATACCACAGCCAAATGGCTAAACTCCCTTGGTAGACTAAATAATGGCCTGAAAAGATACCTACTGCTTAATCCTGTGAGTGTTATCTTACATGGCAAAAGGGAATTTGCAGATGTGATTAAGTTAAGGATGTTGAGCTGGGGCCCATTTCATGTTAACTTAACTAATTACATCTACAAAATGTCTATTTCCAAATAAGGTCATATCACAGATACAGTTTAACCCAAATGTCATACAGAGATACCATTCAGCAATATAAAGGTAGGAACTATCCACACATGCTACAGCACAGATAAATTTCAAAGACATAATGCTAAGTGAAAGAAACCACTTTCCCTGATTGTGACACAAGAGACCATGTATATGAACTATTTAAACTATAGATTAGTAGTTGCCTAGGGCTTGTAATGAAAACTGTAAATGGGCATAACAGACCTTATTGGGTGTGGGTATGTGAAAATGTTTTAAAACTGATTTATGGTGATAGTTGTATCGCTTGCTAAAGTTACTACAAACACTGAATTTTACTTGAAATTGGTGAACATTATTATATGTAAAATATACTTTAATAAAATTGTTAAAAAAGTAAAAAGCTAGCAAATATAACACTTTACACTTCTTGGTCTCAAATGCATTAATATAATTTTTAAAACGGCAGCCTATAAGACTATGAGACCAGAAGAACTAGATGGTGCCCGGCTACCACTGTCATCCACATGTAAGGGGATCTATGCAGGAGATCCTTGATAGAGAAGGAGAACAATGTGGGACAAAACTCAAAATCATTTGGAGCAAAACAAGGGGGGGACCAGGTTTGCTGGTTTGATAGAGCCTGGTGGAACCACTGAGACTATGGCCCCTAGCTACCCTTCGGGTCTGGAATTGAACCCACACCTGTGGTTTTCAACCAAACAAAAGACATGCATATGAGTTGAACATTTTCCTCAAATAGATACACTCCTTGGAGAGAACAATCATGGGAGAAAGAAGGGCTGCTTATGCACAGGGAGACAGCTCAG